ATGATAATGCGATACGAACGGAACCGACTGTCACCGCTAATGTTGGAGATGTTGCTGTTTCTGAAGATTAACAGCAGCTACTGGGACGTCACTACTGTTGACGCAGTGATCTAGGTAGTATGACAGCACATCGGCTTAGTAACATGATTTCACTTTGCTGCTTAATATTTATTTGCCATGGTTGTGGATACAAGTTATTTATTTGCAGATTTACTAAGCACCATGCAGGTATCTATTCGCGTTAGAGGAGAAAATCCATATAAATAATATTTTACGGAACCCTGGTTACCAACGTGCATTTTGGGGGTAGATCCATTGTATAAGTTCTAATCCATTTGTACAAAATAATTTTGAATATCAGATATGCAAGGGTATATGAAGATAACGACGGATTCATTGAGACGCAGCACTGTATCTAAAACATAAACATTTTGGTTTTACGTTCAACAGTTCAATAAAAGTTAACAAAGGGGGTTTTATCCAACAGTTTAAAATAAAAGTGTGTTTTCGTCCAATAAAGTAAACAGTTTGGCTCTAACGAAAAAAAGGAAACACTTCGGGTCTAACGATGTTCCTAATCGACCACCATGTTCTCTGGATTTTTATATCCTGAATCCTACCCGGGATTGTAACCACGTTGTAATCCCCTGATTATTAATACCAAGTCTCAACATGATTTAGATACATCCCTGTTCTCTATTTATTAGCATTTGGTATACCCACTAACCTTTTGGATGTTTATATTATCCGTGAATATTTGCCCAACCGGAGATTACAATTAAGTACCTGTTAGAATTATTCGCAACTTTCGTGTAACACTCGTGCGATTTTGGTGTACCCATTAAGGTTGACAACTATCGCCGGGCGAGAGCAACGTGGCGTTGGCAAAACATCTCTGTAAACGGGGAATGCCTGACATTTACCGACGGCCGTACTCCGTGTTCTCATGACCAACGACTATGCGTTGATGTGTGGAGCACATGTATCTAACGGCCTCAAAGTTACTGGTGTATAGCATGCTTTTCAACAGGTTACACATACTTCTCTATTTGAAACAAAACACTTGTAACCTGCTGAACTAATGGATGTACACATTCGTTTTGAGCTGTGGCAGTACTCGCAAACTACACCAATACTAATTTGCAGATGCTGCGGCTGCGAGGCAGGCGTAGGAGATGCACCGGCACCAGAGTGTGCATCATGGGCATCGAGAACAAAACAATTATAATCTTACTATAGAAGACAAGCGAAAATTCACCTGAAAAAAACGAAAAACCTTACAAGTGTAAGACACGGAAGTATTCGCCTGTGACAATTCATGGTGGACTTCAACAGGATACTAGAGGAGATGGATCGGATCTACGAGAATACATACAGTAGGTGGGCTTGCCCAGCTCTTCCAGATCGAAAGTCTGGTACAAACAGACACCAGACTAAAACCTCTCAATGTGCGAGTGGAGGACATCGTCGGCGTCATGCCGAACCCTTAAGTGGGCTTAGAGCTGGTGCGTGGCAGTCATATTTCCGGACTATTTGACTTCATCAACGGGTATTGGCAGATAACCCTCGACTAAGCTTGCCAGGAGGTGTTGTCGTACATTACTCATCGGAAGCTTTACATACTGCGGCATGTACCACAAGGAAGTTGTGGCCCCGTTCTGTTATTCCAAGCTACTATCGAGAAGTGCCTCCAAGAGCTTCTGTATCAACATTTACTAGTCTGGATCTACGATCTTCTGATATATGCTGTGGACATGAAGACAGACGTGGCTAAGCTAGAAAGGTTGCTTGATCTTCTCGATTCCTTCGGTTTCAAACTAAGCGTGGCAAAGTCGAGTTAGTTCGAGCCTCAAGTGAAGTGGTGCGGTAAGGTAAGAATTGGTCACGGTGTGAGTCACGACCCAAAGTGTATCAAGGCACTTACTTCCCTACCGTACCCGACAAATACGGGCAAACTGCACCAGTACCTCTGTATGGCTAATTGGATGAGGGGGAGTGTGACTGACTTTGCGAGAGTAGCCAAGCCACTCCAGGAGAAGCTCGATGAGGCATTGGCGACAGCGTCACGGCGAACGAAGCGAGTGGAAACTGGAATTAGTATGGAGCTCGATGGCACTCAGATGCAAGCATTCGACACACTAAAACCCAGGTTGTCAACGCAGCAACACTTTCATTCCCTCACCCCGACGCTGTGATAACATTCATTACGGACGCATCCGACGTGGACTACGGTATTATAGTGACTCGAGTATGGTCTTGGCAAACCGTAAGCCAGTCACTAAACAGCAGCATGAATTGTTGGTATGTGTTAGTAGGACATTTACTGGGTCGCAGAAAAATTGGAGCGTGACTGAAAAAGAAGCGTACCCGATTGTCCGCACCTGCGACCAGCTCACTCACTTGCTTTGCGGCCCCACGGATACCGATTGTTCTGTAAATCACCACAACCTAATCTACGTGTTTGCATCTGGAAAGGAAGTGAAAAAGTTCGTTAGGGGAAAGTTGCTGCGTTGGGTACTCAAGGTGATGGAGTGCTACCACATTGAACACATTGAAGGAGGCAGTAATGTATGGGCCGATATGGTATCGAGGTAGGCCGGGAACCACCAAGACAATGGGGGCATTGCGGGCCATGGTGTTGTGTAAGCGGACGAGCGGGGAGGAAGATAGGACTCAGCAAACCCGGACTAAGCATCGGCGTGGGGAGGAAGACAGGACCCTGAGGATTCAGGCCGAACGTCAGAGCGGGGAGGGATAGGACCCCGTCGACTCGACAGAGATACAGAAGAAAGAGCAGAAGCTCAAGAAACGGCTGTTAGTACCGCAGCGATTCGACCGCTAAACGCCCCAGCTTTTACATGGCCAACTCTGGATACTGTGCCAGTCCACCTCGTCACCAAGGGAATGTCGGACAATGGCTGGTATCGTGGTGACCGACTGTGTATACCTGTAAAGGATGAATCACTGTTGCAATGGCTATTGGTTTATCGCGAGTTCAAGGTCATCGAGGCCGTGCTGCAATGATGAAATTACTACAGCGCCATTTCTTTGTGGATAATTTACACAGAAGAGTAGACAGATTGCTATCGATATGCCTATTCTTCCATCACGTGAAGTGTGGTAAGATAGTGCAGCGATCTTGGAGTGAGACGTTTCGGTGTAACGAGCGGGACGGCGCGTTACACTGGGACTTCATAACTGTGGACGAATCCTTTGGTAGCGACAAATAACTGCTGGTGATGAAAGACGAAGCTTGTGAGCTGGTACCATGTGCTAGCCCAACTAGTGCGGTAGCAGTGGACGCTATCCTAGACTGGCACAGCAGATACAAAATCCTGCCGATCTGGATCAGCGACCAAGACAACCATTTTAAAAATATGGTAGTAGCAGAGATACGCAAGCATCTCAAGTGCGAACAACGGTTCACCGGGGCCTACTACCCCTGGATCGATGACACCATTGAGCGCGTCAACCGTGACGTTATCCAAGTACTCAGAGTGATATTATGGAATATAAAAAGGACACCAAACACTGGGCATCGCTAGTACCACTACTACAAGCGAGCATCAATCACATTCCTCTGTCTTCGCTAGACAACAAAGCACCGGTCGAACTGTTCTGTGTTCTACCATTTCCAAGTCCACTCCGCTTCTGCGTCGACCCCGAAACAAAGGGAGTCGTAGATATGACGAGCCAGCCCAAATTGATTGCAAAGAAGCTGCAGGTTCTTCGTGACAGCGTCTACGAGGTGCCTAGAGCCGTGACGACGGAGCGCAAAAAACTGACTAAGAGGAACAAATGCATGATACGCGGTGCTAGAAAAATCCACTTCAGCGTAGGAGATGGTCTCGACTGGATCAGAAGTATCAGGATACGCTACTCGTCACCTGGACTGGCCCGTACAAGTAGTGCGAGCGGATGTGCACTCATTTGTAGTCCGACATCGAGTTAACGGTGCAGAGACTGACGCCCACGCGCCTAGGCTCAAGTACTACGCTGACAAGGACTACAATGTGGCTGGGAAGTCTGAGAGCAGGTGGTATCCCAAGATATCGTGCTGGTAGTGGCGGAGCTCAACGAGCATTGGTGGCGCCCAGCCAAGAAGGACTACGAGCTTCTGGTGTCCTGGAAAGGCCTAAAACCGATTGAAGATTCGTGGGAGCCGCTTCGTTCTCTGTGGAGAGATATGCCCAAAATGATACGTGTATACGTGGAGCAAACTGGTTGCGTGAAGCTCTTGAGGCATATTGCAATGATTTGCAATAGGTGCTAGTTGAAGTGCAAAAAGAATGATGATCACGGCAACCTTCCATTCGGACGACATTCGAGCTACATTTGGACAACATGATTTGGCTCTGCGTGTTCAGAGCATCATGTGAGTGATCTAGGCGATTTAGGTAAATGAAGCGCCAGCTTCCTGATACTGTGTTCGGGTCTGAGACCCACTACAAAGAGCAACGCTCAAGAGCTTCACACTGCGTTACGCTGTTGATAAGAAGTTGTGGTGCAATATCATTTACAAGCTTAAACGGTTTGTCTACAGTCGCGTCGATCGCCATGACTGATGCGTAAAATTGTCTGTGGTACGACGAGTTGCGAGGAAGTAGCACAAAGTGCTCTCGACGGCACCAAGACTGAGATGACAAAGAACGTATGAAGCACACATGGAGATGACAAACGCTGTGATCACAAGGGCGGTAAGACGACGACTGAATGAGGAGGCTTTTCGTTTTATTACCGATACTCACGCTTCAACCAAATACTATATCAAACAACGTTGGCCACTTTGGCGATCGTTCCTCGCGGTTTAGCCAGTAGGCTCGGAGAGAGTGCTTGAACAATACTCGGATGTGGTCGAGCTGGCGTAGGAAGAGTCAATGGTGCCGCATGAATTGGACAATTGATGTTTGCTTGACGATTGCATCTGATCATTAATGACCCCCATCGGACTCATTGTACGGGCTTGTTGCAGGCAAAGACCACAGAACGACACCTTGCGCTGCTCCATCTGGAGAACCGAGGTCATGAATGTCAACTTGCGCTGAATACGGCAGGAACGGCATAAGTAGCCGACGCACAACTTGCATGTGCTTCCTTCGCTCCTGCCATAATCTCCGCGAGTGAGCTTCAAAATAGGAGTGCAGCATGTTACGCAGATGTGAGCTTTGCTCGGTGCTCCCAGTTCCTTGGACTGCTCATAGCGCTTGCCCAATAACCACACAATCTTCTTCATCTTGCTGCAGTGAGCGTACTTCAGAAGACTCAGATATCCCGTCGCCATACTTGGAATCACAAAAGCCTTGATCATGTCACCAGCAGGATCGACGATGCCCGAACCGTACACCTCTACAGTATCGGGGCCAAGCTGGCGAAAGATACCGCACGCTGTCATGCTAGCTCGTACACGGTTCGGAAGCTCCTTCGTCTGTGGGAAATTGATCGAGTGGTAGATCTGGCAGCCGATGCGCTCGCCATTTGACAGCTTGACGGTCTTCATGTACTCGATGAACACGTAGTCGCGGTTCTTAACCAAACTCGTCGCGTTGAACGGCAGATCGAGCTCGACCCACTTGATTGTCATCGACCTGAACGGGTCCTCAGGCGTCGGTTCCTCGAGAACTGCAAGCACGGCACCACCGCTCATGTCTTCGACGTAGGAAGCCTTCAGGCGCATGGCCTCGAGCGTGGGGCTGTATGCACCGTACATACAGTCTTCAACAGTGCCCCACGTGACGCCCGTCATTAGAAGACCTGGATGATCCGAGACTGATCCTGATATGGACGTCCGGATTGGAGGCTCACGCTCTAGGTAGACTCGAGTGTCATCTTTCGTCTTGATCAGCTTCCACTCCTTCGGATCGACCTTCGGGCCGCCGTCTCCAATGAACGCCTCGTACTTGAGGACACTCTGGTCAAAGAAGTTGTAGGCGAACTCCTTGAGCTTGGACCTGTCGAGCTCTGAAAGAGCGAGGTGTCCGAATGGATTCACAACGAAGCGGTTCTTGCCCATTCTTGGCCCAAGAAATCGTGGAATGGTTTTCGATTGGAGAGTCTTAGCTTGGTTCGGCGACTATCACAAATGCGATGTTTTGAGGTCGTTTTGCCTGTAGGTCCGTCCGACTTGTCCATCCTCGAGCTGAGGTTCTTATCCGAAATTCCGATTGCTGTGGCAAACGTCGAGGGGAAATAAGATAGTCGAGTGCCTATGTTCTGATGCCACCACCTGCACTAAATAAGATGGCATCAGAACGTAGGCGCTCGTCTATCTTATTTCCTTAGTTATCAAACGGCTGTCATCAATGCCTATGGAAAAATAAATATAGAGTTTGTAAGAGCTCTTGCCAATATTTTTAAAATATATACAGGATGTTGAAACAGCTCTTACCAATATTTTTATTTCGCTTATTGCTGTGCTATATCATTATCTAAACTACTTCAAGTAAAAATTGTAAGACATAAGAAATTGCTTGAGTATTGACGGAATTACAGTTAAATCGATCAATATCTTTTAAAACATATTATTGCTTATCAAATTAATAAGATACTACAATATGCTATTCACTTAAACGACTACTTATTGTACTGGTACTTCAAAGTATTATTTTCTCGGAGTGATGCCAAAGAATGTGCAGGTAGTCAATGCACTTGTAAAACTGGCTGAGGACGGAGCTTGTGCGTACCCTTTTGCGGCGCCATTAGATAACTCAAGCACAGTAGAAGTCATAATAGCATTAGTGGTGAAATATTCATAGTAGTACTACAAATGGCCTCGTTGTAAAATAGTGTTTTTATTGGCTAATGACACTATGCACTTACATGTTGACATACATATATTGTCAATACTGTATTGAGCTAGCATTTTGCCGTTCTGAAGATGAAAAGGTTGCTCGCCGGTTCCGGTCGGATCTATGGATCTATTACCTGGGGAGTCCCGTGGATATCGGTAGTTCACGCTCTGGGGATATGGTTTCGACAAGCCAAGGTAAGAGGTAGATAGCAGCTATTACAACAAACTGTTTTGAAGTGTCTATAATAGGAAAAAGGTAATGACCAATATGCAGGCCGTCGTTTCTTACGTCCGGAACCTGCAGCTCTATATCGGACTGACGATCATGCGAACTATCCACGTTTGACAGTGCTTTAACTAATAAAAAAAGGGCGGAGGCTGCGTACACCTCATTCTTAGTAAAAAAAAAAACTTGATTTTTGTATGGAGTCAGAGGTGAAAACGGGAAGGAGGACGGATGTCATTATCCTCATGGGGTTTTCGTTCTGCAATGGCAGTCGCTACGCTCGTGCAAAATAAAAAAGTCCCTCATCTGGCGAGTGCAAGGATTCACTCTCCGGAAAGCAAGACGCTGGGCCAGCCTATGCAAATACTGCATGGGTTTGTTACCGATACTCTCGTTCACAACCGCTCGCCTCCTTTGGTCCAGTCTTCAGTTCATTTCATCTCCTCAAAAAAAAAAAAAAAACGATGTACGCAACCTCTCTCCTACTGTAGTAAAAATCTGTTAAGTTTGAGAGCATCCGTCCCCGATCAGACACGAAGCTCAAACTCTTGTTTTCTATGTTAAGACATATGGATCGCCTCTATATTTTGTGCAATCGCGCATTTGTCAATCTGCTGGGCAACAGCAAACTACATCGTCTACCTCCGTCGATCCTGCGCTACTAGAAATCAATCGACCAAACATGGGCAAGGACCGCTTTGTTGTAAACCCTTTCGAGGAACTCTCTCTTTCGAGTGCCGACAAAGCCAGCCTGATGGACTTCAGCTACAACTTCATTGACCAGAACATTGAGAAATACGAAGCATTCATCAGCGATGGAAGCCGAAACATTGACCAGAAGAAGTGGAAGCTGATCAAAACCAAGGACGACACTCGCGTGTACTTAGAGCGAGAGCCAATGACTCGAATATCCGACCAGGGAGTGAAGACAGACCACCCAGAGTTCCTCGTGACCGGTACCACGTGGGGAACCGTTGATGACTGTATCTTCGGGGCCTTGAACCCGACGCTCGAGTCGATGCGTATCAAGGTTTCGTACGTCGAGGATATGAGCGGGGGCGCCGTCCTAGCTACACTTGACATACCGACGATTGAAGAACCTTTAAAATCGATGACAGTGAAGTGGATGGAGATCGACCTCCCGTTCGCCTCGACCTCGCTCATCAAGAACCGCGACTACGTTTTTCTCGAGGGCACCAAGATTGTTCATCTGTCCAATGGTGAACGTGTTGGCGTCATGATCTTCCACTCGGTCAACTTCCCGCAGACAAAAGAGTTACCTGGTCGTATACGTGCCAACATCACAGTGTGCTGCATATTCCGTCAGACTGGCCCCGACATGGTCGAGTTGTATGGATCGGGTATCGTTGACCCGGGTGGTGACATGATCAAGGCTTTTGTGATGCCTAGTATCGCGAGTGGATATCTCACAACACTCAAGTATGCACACTGCAGCCAGATGAAGAAGATGGCTTGGATGCTGTCGAAGCGTTACGCTCAAGCTAAGGAACTAGGAACTCCTAATCGCCCCAACGTCTGCATCACGTGCACGACTTCCTTATCCAAGCTGCGGAGTGGAGACTACGGCAAACGTAAAAACACGTGCAAGTTGTGTGCTGGGCACCTATGTCGCTCTTGCAGGATCCAATGTAAGCTGTCCTTTGTGGGATCGGATCTTGAGCTTGAGCAGCGCAAGGTCTCCTTCTGCGGATTGTGCTTACAAAAAGTTAAATCCATGAGCCCGATGGAGGTAGCGACAGAGTACGCCGCGGGTACGAGCAGGCAAGTGGTGTCCTACCCTGGAAGTGATTCTTCGTACATCAGCAACTCCAAGTCGTCGTTCGACTGACATCACCTCGACCACACACTGTGACGTCGATCTCTGTTGTTCTTAAGCTTGGACGTCTGTTCTTTTAGCGACCATCAATATAGCGTTCTTGACGTCACAGAGAGTACTTTTGCTTACTTTACTGCACCCTCTTGCAAGGCGCAGACGCACTCATGTAGCCTGCAATTGGTTCAAAGTTCCTGAATGTGTAGGATTATTGATCGAGTATGGACCACTCTCCAGGTAGATCTAAATGTCATCTTGTATCTACAGTATTGGATCCACCTCATCTAAGATATTTTATCAAAGAAAATTGTTGCCTGACTCTGTACTGCTAGTTCCGTGAGATCATGGTATCCGAATCCATTCCTACCGAAACGATTCTTGCCCAGCGTTTAACGCACTGGGTCGTTAGCGAATTAATAATAAAAGCTCCTCATCTTCAAGTAAAAATAACCGTACTGGACTCGAGATGTTCAACGCATTGGAAGATAGGTTTTAAAGTTTTAACGTGTGTGGCGACCGCGAATTTGATGTGCATGTAACTTGCATATGCGAGCTCATGTTCTTATCCGGTTTTACGCGTTTCTGTGGCGACGCCAAGTGAATGTGCCCTCAACTCTGACCAGCTGCGCTACAAAGTCTTCAACCAGGTCCGACCACCATGCGGCATTTGATGTCAGTCGGTTGGCAACCAACTTGGTTGTCTGGGCGGCCTGAGATGCGGCGGTTGGTTGTCCACACAGTATATAGAGCAAAGCTGCATCGCTATTGTCTTGGGGTCATTACCTCGTTAAAATATTGCTCGGATAGCGTGTATCTCTGAAGTATTCTAGCTATTTTCACTTCGTCTCTAACAAAACCTAACTCGTCTGATGACTAGAACTCACAAGAAGTCCGATGCGTCTACTAGGCATATTAGTTATGGCGGTGCTTGCTACCACCTGCTGGGTGCTGCAGCTCTATATTGGGCTTTCGAAGATCATAGTCGACGGTATTTACATAGGGATTTCCCACACATCCTCAGCGGTGAAATCTTCACAAGACTGCTTATTACTCACACTCTACCCAACGAAGCATATTTACTTGAGGACGTCCGTCCCGGATCAGACACGAAAGATGAGCATATGGGTAGGCTCCTACTCTGGTTACCTTACTACACCGATGACCGCGGTAATCTTCTCCTACACGCATATTTTCAATCCATTCGTCGATTTGCTGGCCTTCAGCAACTTGCTGACAGCAAGTACACGGGCAGCCTCGTCGTATCTACGTTCCCGTCAGTCATTCAACATGGGCAAGGATCGATTCGTCGTCAATCCTTTCGATGAACTCTCTCTATCAAGTGCAGACAAGGCCAGCCTCATGGACTTCGGCTACAACTTCATCGACCAGAACATTGAGAAGTACGAGCGATTCATCGGTGACAGCGGCCCGAAGGTTGACCAGAAGAAGTGGAAGCTGATTAAAACCAAGGACGATACACGTGTGTATCTTGAACGAGACCCGATGATCCGGACAACCAAAGACGGAGCAAAGACCGACCACCCGGAGTTCTTGATGACCGGAATTACGTGGGGGACTGTGGACGACTGCATGTTCGGAGCTGTAAACCCGACGCTTGAGTCGATGCGGATCAAGGCTTCGTATGTCGAGGATATGAGTGGCGGAGCTGTCCTGGCTACACTTGACACACCAACAACCGAAGAGCCCTTCAAATCGACTACGGTCAAGTGGATGGAGCTAGATCTCCCGCTAGCGTCTACTTCGCTCGTCAAGAACCGCGATTACGTTTACCTTGAGTGCACCAAGATCGTCCGACTGTCAACCGGTGAACGCGTCGGTGTCATGATCTTCCACTCGGTCAACTTCCCACAGACGAAGGTGTTGCCTGGTCGCATTCGCGCCAACATCACGGTGTGCTGCATCTTCCGGCAGGTTGGTCCTGACACGATTGAATTGTACGGGTCAGGCATCGTGGACCCGGGTGGTGATATGATCAAGGCCTTCGTAATGCCCAGTATCGCTACCGGTTACCTCACGACATTGAAGTACGCGCACTGTAGCAAGACGAAGAAGATGATCTGGATGCTCGGAAAGCGTTATGCCATGGCCAAGGAGTTGGGGACTCCTACCCGCCCGAGCATCTGCGTCACCTGCACGACTCCCATATCCAAGCTGCGGAGAGGTGACTACAGCAAAAGCGAAGCCAACACCTGCAAGTTGTGCGCTGGGTACTTATGTCGCTCGTGCCGAATCCAGCGTAAACTGACTTTCGTTGGGTCGGATCTCGAGCTCGAACAGCGAAAAGTCTCCTTCTGCGGTCTCTGCTTGCAGAAAGTGAGGACCATGAGCCCAATGGAAGTGGCAAGAGAGTATGCTGCCGGTACATGCAAGCAAGTCGTGTCGTACCCTGGCATCGATTCTTCCCACACCAGCTACTCCACCTCGTCCGACTGACTGTCATTTCAAGCTTTATGTGCTCAGTATTGTAGAGATCGTCCATATCCCGTAAATAACACACCGTTCTTTTTTTTCCTCGAAGTCTCCTGCCTGAGGCATTAATAATGGGCGCTCTATTCGAGGTTGTGATTACGCGGAAGCAAGTACATCTTGGCGGCCAAGTTGTACTTGCTTCCGCGTAATCACAACCTCGAATAGAGTGCCCATAATTATGCCCCTGCAAGAGTGTTGGTGATTGGTAAGCACTTCCCGCATCACTTTCTAAGAAGCTGCCTCGGTCTCAAGTGTCGATGGCCCCGCGAAGTCGCAACGTCGACTCGGAACCGACCGCTGCCTTCCACGAGCTTCGTAGTCCTCGCCACGAGTCCACCTCGATCGCTGATCCTCTGAAGGAGGACAAATCGAGCCCATTAGACTCTGCGAACCTCTTGTCCATCGCTACAATCTGGTGGCTGCAGCCCCTCTTGATACGCGGCTATAAGGCTCCTTTAACTGAAGACAGTGTGTGGGAATTGCCTAAAAAGGACCAATCTCACCGTCTACAAGCACGTTTCGATGCCTCGTGGGCGAATCAGGACCAAAAGAAGAAGAAAAAGCGGCCTAGTGTCAATGTTGCGCTCTGGGAAGCCACCAAGGACAAGATCTCCATAGCTATGGGTCTATATCTTATCAGCGCGACACTTACACTCGTGCAGCCCTTTCTAATCAAGGCTATTCTCCAAAATTTGGAAGGGGAAGACAACATTTTCGGCATTTCTTCGGGTTACGGACTCGCAGTGATCCTAGGCTGTGTAGCTTTCTGTGGAGCCACTGCCATCAATTCCGCTCAGTTTCTGACTGCGAGAGCAGGTTGCAACGCTCGAATGGTGGTAATTAACAGTGTTTTCCAGAAAATATTGAGGCTTAGTGCAACGGCGAGGAGGACGATGAACAGTGGGGAAGTGGTCACTTTGGCTGGAGTTGATAGTGAGCGTGTTATGGAGGCCTACACGATTGGATTGTGGTGTATCATCTCGCCTCTTATCTTGACTGCGGATTGCGTTTTGATCGGTACACAAATGGGAGTGTATGTGGGTCTGGCGGTGGCTGCCACTAGTGTGATGATCATGTATGCGGCGTTCATGACGTCGAAACATATTGGAATTTACAGACGACGGATCTCCAAAATCAGTGCAAACAGGGTGAAACTAACGAACGAAGTGTTACTTGGTATACGGGTGATTAAATTCTACGCGTGGGAAGACTCTATAAACGAAACCATCCGACAGATTCGAGACCAAGAAGTGGCGTTGATGCGGAGATATAACTATCTGCGACTAACCAACGCAGTACTGATGTTCCTAGCACCGACCATATTGAACATGGTATGCTTTCTGGTGTATATTCTACTGGACAATACCTTGGATGTGGCTACTGCGTTCGTGATCTTAGCACTCACAAACGCCTGTAAGATGGCGTTCAGTATCTTCGCGAACGCATCAGTGGCAGTTTCCGAAGCCATCACTTCAACTGGTCGTTTATCGGATTTCTTGGTGTCTGGTGAGGTGGAAGAAGCTCAGCACGAACGGAATATGGATCATGAAAAAGCAGTAATTTCTTTTAAAGACGCTGATTTCCAGTGGGTAGAGGACACTCCAACATTGACGCTATCAAACATCACGTTTACTCTCCAACCTGGAACGTTAACAGTGATAGTAGGCCCCGTTGGTAGTGGCAAATCCAGTCTTATTAACGCCGTACTTGGAGAAATGCACCAAATTAAAGGAATACGCGTAGTCCAGGGTGACGCAGCGTACGCAAGTCAACAAGCGTGGATCCAGAACCAAACCGTGCGTGATAACATTTTATTCGGCGAGCAATACGATGCACAACACTACCATCGCGTAGTTAAGGCGTGTCAGTTGTTACCGGACTTTGAAATGCTCGAGCAAGGCGACCAAACGGAGATTGGTGAGCGTGGAATTAACTTAAGTGGCGGTCAGAAAGCGCGCGTGGGTGTGGCAAGGGCCATGTATCGAGCGCGTAACTTCGACTTTGTAGTACTGGATGACCCGCTAAGTGCGTTGGACGTACATGTGGCAAACGCCGTGTTCTCGGATGGTCTTATGGGCATTGCTCAGGGCTCAACTCGCTTGTTGGTGCTGAATTCGCACTACCATTTACTTCAGTATGCAGACCGCATATTAGTCATGTCGGATGGCCAGATCGTCGGAGATGGCACGCTACAGCAGCTTGAAGATGACTTCACGTTTCTTGCGACCTCACCTCGTACCAAAAACATTGATGATAGTGAAGAAAGAGATGAAAAAATCACGCAACAACAAGGAAAGATACAGGAGAGTGCAGTGGAGTTGAGTGGTAAACCAGGAGAGTCTAAGGAGAAGACTCCTAGAAAGTTGATTGTGGATGAGGATCGTCGTGTTGGTTCTGTCCGGATGAAGACTTACGTGAACTATTTGGCTGCGTCGGAGTGGAATGGCTACATTTTAGCTGCTACCATCTTCATCTTGTTCACGATCGCCCAAGTTGCGCTGTTTTTCTGCGATTGGTTTCTGAGTCAATGGTCTAAAGGATCTATCGATCTCAGTCAGAAGAACTCCATGACTGTCTATGTGGGGATAGTTGTCGCCTCTCTGCTACTGACATTCATCCGATGTGTCTACTACATGGAGATCTGCATGCGATGTTCGGCCAAGCTGCATTTCAACTATATCCGCAAAGTATTAGGCGCTCCAGTGACCACTTTCTTCGACGTGACTCCTGTGGGACGTATTCTCAACAGATTTTCTCGAGATCTGGATCAAGTGGACAATCCATTACCGTATTTCAGTCTGTGGATGATGCTGTATATCTTTCAGATGGCGTCGGCGTTTATTGTATGTGCTGCTGCTGATCCGTATGTACTGATTTTGTATCTACCAGTGGGATACGCCTTCATGTTCGCCATTAGACTGTACCAGTCCTCTGCTCGAGAACTTAAACGCTTGGATAGTATTTCACGATCACCATTCCTTAATTTGGTATCGGAGACGATCTCTGGTATCGAGACAGTGCGTTCGTACAAGATGGTGGAGCAATTCTCCTCTCAGTGTGAAGATCTGTTGAACAACAACGCCAAATTCTTCCTGCTATTCCAGTCGGCTTCAAGGTGGTTTGCCATGCGCACAGATTGGCTAGTATCTGTCATTATCGCTGCGGTAGCGATCCTTGCGATTGCAACAAAATCGAGCTTAGGAGCTGCAGTCGCCGGCCTCGGACTGACGTATGCTGCACAATTAACTTCGAGTTTCCAACGGATGACAACGCTAACGACTCAAGTCGAGAATATCATGACGTGCTTCGAGCGTATCGCTCACTATGGATCACTGGATGAAGAAGGATACAAGAGTACGCCTTCCAACAAGGATTCGCTATCTCCTGCGTGGCCAAAGACTGGCAATGTCGTTTTCGAGAACGTCTCCATGAGATATCGAGAAGATCTACCACTGGTGTTGAAAGGTGTGTCCTTCTCGGTCGCTAGCGGGGAGAAAGTGGGTATCTGTGGACGTACTGGATCCGGTAAAAGCTCGCTTATGAGTGTACTTTTCCGAGTGGTGGAGATCCCAACAGCCGGTCATGTACTCATCGACGGCGTGGATATCGCTACCATTACAGTGCACCAATTGAGAACAAAGCTGACGATTATTCCACAGGATCCGATGCTTTTTAGTGGTTCACTACGTATGAACCTGGACCCGTTTGCAGAGAAGAGTGACGCAGAGTTGTGGGAGGTACTACGGAAGGTTCACTTGGCTGATACGGTGTCATCGTGGGGCAAAGGACTGGATTACGAAGTCGCGGAGAAGGGCGAGAACTTGTCGGTGGGACAGCGTCAGTTGTTGTGTATCGCTCGTGCGTTGATCCGAGACAGCAAAGTGATCGTGATGGATGAAGCGACAGCCAATGTGGATCAGGAATCGGACAAGCTGATCCAACAGACGATGAAGGAGAGCTTTGGCGGTGGTGATAGCACGGTGTTGTGTATTGCGCACCGTATCGAGACGATCATGGACAGCGACAAGATTTTGGTATTGGATGCCGGCAAGGTGGTAGAGTACGACACGCCAAGTACATTGTTGCAGATGGAGGGAGGAGTCTTTAACTCGTTGGTTGAGTCAGGCAAAGCTGTGGGGATTCTGGATTAAACCAAATACGTTTTAAAGTGTAGTGCTGGACTGAACCAACAATGTTCTAGACTAAAAAGATGTTGAGAATCAATTACAGATAGTATGGTTTAATGCATGATCACCATAATTACATCCTCGTTTGTGGTCACTGGATGAGCAGCGTATGCCAGCATCATTGCTGCCCTCTGTCTGGTGCATTGCGCACACCTTCGCGCCTTCCACTGCAGCTGTAATCCAGATCCTAACTGACACAGCACACAAAACGACACGGCTGTCTCGTTATGGTCACTATACTAGCAACTCAGCTGGAACCGGCACTATTTAGCTGCCTTCTTGCAGCGACAAGACCGTCGATTCATGAGCCAAACTGCATAGTTTTGGTTTTACCAAGTTACTGGTAAGACTCTAAAGCGGGAGGCACGTAGGACTTTTTTAACATGTAAAAAAATGATTGTTTAGTTAAAATATCTAACATTTATTTTATTAAAATCAAACAAGAGTTAGCAATTATGAATAAAATGTCAAAAATAAAAATTTCAAGCATTATTATTTGAAACCTAAAATTCCTCGTTTACATTTTATTTATTGTTTGTGAGAACATAGTATGCTATCCAATTCTTCTAGGCAACTGTCATTTTCTTAAAATAAATAATTGTTCTGTCTCCTGGTGTGGCATTATATGTTTTTGCGATTAATTTATTTTTTTCTATCTGTTTTTAGTTATTTTTAATATTAATTAACAAAAACGTTTAAAATCATTTTTTTTACAGTTAGTGTTCTTAAGAATTGTTAACGAGAGAAATAACACGATAGATTGGATTATTGGTACATCAATCGCAATGCACATCCAACAGAGCTCGCAATCGGTTCATACCGGGTACTAACCCGCTTCGGCATTGACAATGTTCCATTCGAATTAGGTACCCATATCCACCCTTTACCCGAACGAGGAACTCGGACGTGACTGGTGCCTATTTGATATGGACCCGTAATGGAGACGGGGGGAAAGCTACAGAAGTAGGAGCACTCGCATACAATTTTAGTGTTGTCATAATCTTTGCACTTGGTGTGGTTTAAAACTATGTGATCGTCTGCAATTTCAGATGGGCCGAGTTCGAAATGTATTGACTGCAGCTGATATCACAAAGTGTTTACGTCTTCTCGTGCACGGATCTGACCCGATGCTCAATGCTAACTTTTTCGGGTAACCAATTGCGAGCTTTGTCATGCACGTTGTGCATATTACATCCCTGTGGACATAGTAGCGATGGAGACGGACAAATTGGAAGGGACAAGAAGCGGTATCGGCTCCGGATGACGTGGGAAGAAAGAATCATCAGTTCAGCAAAGTTACGATGTTCGGAATTGGCCTCATTTCTCTAACACCCAATTTGAATGGTCTCGTTTCAGTTACAGTCGCACCAGAACGGACGGTATTAGGGACGAGAAAGCAGTTCGGTTTGAGGACAGGCATACCACAAGCGAAGGTACGAGGGTTCTTTTTTTGTTGTTGCTTGAGTCATGACGTTCAATAACTAACATGTAAATACGCAACCTGTAATGCGGGGCACTGCATTCGTGTCAGCATTTTCGTCAAGACGGAGGATTTATAGATGAAAACGATCTGTGCGATCGTAAAACTACCGACCTGATGCCACCAGGAGCAGCGCGTATGAACTCACCAGCTCCTCATTCGAGTTTTTGCCAGCTTGCAAACTCGAGCCATTCCAACGACGAAAGACCGTTAATCAAAGCAACAGTGTTGCACCATATTGCAGAGACAGTATCGATCAAGCGACTATTATGTCTACACTCTACGCGGATGACAACTATCTTTCAGCTAAGACGAGTACAGCAGCCGAGTCGTGGTCAAGCGAAACTTCCTTCGACGAACAAAAAGGAGGCCTTCAAGACAAAGAGAATCCACTCAATACTGCGGGATTTCTGTCGGTGGCGACTATGTGGTGGATGCATCCCTTACTCAAGCGTGGCTACGAATCGCCTTTGGACGAGGACAGCGTCTGGGATCTCCCCACCAATGATCAAGCTCGTCCACTTCAATTGAAGTTCGACAGATCCTATGCTCTCGAAGCTCAGAAAGTCGTCAGAAAAACCAAAAGAAATGGTGAACCCAAGCGTCCGAATGTGAATCGAGCCATCTGGGAGAGTGTCAAACAGACGTGGGGGATCGCGTTCGTGCTTCACGCTGTCAGCGCTGGTCTCATTCTGTTCCAACCGTTCTTGATCAAAGCCATCCTGCAGAATATTAATGGTGAAGACAATACCTTCGGCATCTCATCAGGGTACGCGTTGGCAATACTTCTGGGCTGCACAGCTTTTGTTGGAGCTACAACACTTAACGCAGGACAGTTCCTCACGACTCGGGTTGCTTGTAATGCGCGTATGATCTGCGTCAATAGCGCCTTTCGGAAGATCTTGCGTTTGTCAGCAATTGCACGACGGACGATGGATACTGGAGAGATTGTCACTTTTGTGGGGGTTGACAGTGATCGCGTTCTATCAGCGTACAAATTGGGATTATGGTGCACTATTTCTCCACTTATGTTGATTGTCGTGGGGGTTCTGATTGCCACACAAATGCACTTGACCGTCGCTTTGGTTACTTCAATGGCGATCGCAATTATCATGTACGCTTCACTTGTCATGTCCAGAAAGATTGGAGCCTATCGTCGACAAATTTCACGAATTAGTGCAAATCGCCTAAAAGTTACGAGCGAAATACTACAAGGCATTCGAGTTGTCAAGTTCTACAGCTGGGAAGGCTTTGCCACGGACCTGATTAGCGAAATTCGAGACAAGGAGATCGCACTTTTGCGCAAGTATAACTATGTACGTCTGGCCAACACTGTGCTGATGTTCTTGGCACCGACGCTGTTGAATTTGGTGTGCTTTACAACGACAATCCTACTGGGTAACACCCTCGATATTCCCACGACATTCGCCATTGTGGCTCTTACTAACGCATGCAGAACACCGTTCAGTATCTACGCAGATGCTTCTGTTGCTGTTGCTGAAGCCATCACGTCCACCAGTCGACTCTCCGACTTCCTCGCCGCTGGAGAAACTACCGATCAAAACAAACAAGATGAAGATCTCAATCTCAACTTTTCCCCTCAAATCTCAATCGAAAATGCCGATTTCAAGTGGGAGGAAGAGGCATCTCCGACATTAACCAACATCAATATCTCACTCCAGCCAGGAACCCTCACAGTTGTAGTCGGTCCAGTTGGCAGCGGAAAGTCCAGTCTCGTGAACGCTATACTTGGTGAGATGCTCCAAACTCGTGGTAAGCGTCTGGTTCGTGGAAACATTGCCTATGCAAGTCAGCAGGCGTGGATCCAGAACCAGACTGTACGAGATAATATCCTCTTTGGAGAAAGTTACGAAGCGGAACATTATCAACGTGTGATCACTGCCTGCCAACTTGCTCCGGACTTTAAGATGCTTGAATATGGTGATCAAACGGAAATTGGTGAGCGTGGCATTAATTTGAGTGGCGGCCAGAAGGCTCGCATTGCTGTGGCTCGCGCTATGTACCGTGCTCGCAAGTTTGATTTTGTTGTGCTGGATGATCCTCTCAGTGCTTTGGACGTACATGTAGCGAACGCTGTGTTCTCGGATGGTCTTATGGGGATTGCGAGTGGAACTACCCGACTGCTGGTGTTGAATTCGCACTGCCATTTGCTTCGACACGCAGATCGAGTGTTGGTCATGTCTGACGGAGTGATTGTGGGGGATGGCTCGTCAATGCAGCTACAAGACCAGTTTTCGTTCTTGCGATGTTCACCACGATCACGTCGCTCCAGTGTCGAAGAATCAGCAATATATAAGAATCCCAGTATCCAAGATGAGAGGAAATCCACTCGGGCGAGTCTTGTGGTAACACACAACGAGGCAGTCAAAACACCATCTTCTGGAAAACTGACAATGACAGAGGATCGACTTGTGGGGTCTGTCAAAACGCAATCGTACGTCGACTATCTCGCTAGCTCGGAATGGGACGGACGCATGCTTTGCGGGTTAATGATCATGTTGTTTACTATCGCACAAGTTGTACTGTTCGGGTGTGATTGGTTCTTGAGTCAGTGGTCACAAGGCTCCGTGGGTCTCAGCCAGATGAACTCACTAGCAGTTTACATTGGAATCGTCGCGGCAGCAGCACTCCTGTCACTCGGTCGTTGTCTATTCTTCATGACAATCTGCATGGTTTGCTCCCTCAAAATCCATTTCAAACATCTACAAAAGGTGCTGGCAGCTCCGATCACGACGTTCTTCGACGTCACACCTATCGAGCGGATCTTAAACCGCTTCTCACGAGATCTCGATGAAGTTGACAACCCATTGCCATATTTTGGTTTGTGGCTGGTGTTGTGTATTTTCCAAGTGGCATCGTCATTTACTGTCTGCGCAGTGGTCAACCCATTTGTGCTGGTCGTGTACGTACCTGTCGGGTACGGATGCTGGCTCGTTGCTAAAGTTTATCGAGCATCGGCTCGAGAGTTGAAGCGTCTGGACGGAGTCACACGCTCACCGTTCCTCAATTTAATGTCCGAGACCATCTCAGGTATTGAGACTGTGCGTTCGTACAAGATGGTGGACGCCTTCGCCTCTCGATGTGAAAAACTACTCAACAACAACATGAGGGTTTTCTTTCTGGCCCAAGTATCTGGTCGGTGGTTCGATATGAGATCCGACTGGTTCGTGTCTGTGATTATTGGCGCCGTGGCAGTTCTGGCCGTTGCAGCTAAGTCCACAGTGGGGGCCTCAGTTGCAGGCCTCGGGTTAACCTACGCAGCTCAATTGTCATCCAGTTTCCAGCGCATGACTACCCTTGCAACTAAAGTCGAGAGTAGCATGACGTGCTTCGAGCGTATCGCTCACTATGGATCACTGGATGAAGAAGGATACAAGAGTACGCCTTCCAACAAGGATTCGCTATCTCCTGCGTGGCCAAAGACTGGCAATGTCGTTTTCGAGAACGTCTCCATGAGATATCGAGAAGATCTACCACTGGTGTTGAAAGGTGTGTCCTTCTCGGTCGCTAGCGGGGAGAAAGTGGGTATCTGTGGACGTACTGGATCCGGTAAAAGCTCGCTTATGAGTGTACTTTTCCGAGTGGTGGAGATCCCAACAGCCGGTCATGTACTCATCGACGGCGTGGATATCGCTACCATTACAGTGCACCAATTGAGAACAAAGCTGACGATTATTCCACAGGATCCGATGATTTTTAGTGGTTCACTACGTATGAACCTGGACCCGTTTGCAGAGAAGAGTGACGCAGAGTTGTGGGAGGTACTACGGAAGGTTCACTTGGCTGATACGGTGTCATCGTGGGGCAAAGGACTGGATTACGAAGTCGCGGAGAAGGGCGAGAACTTGTCGGTGGGACAGCGTCAGTTGTTGTGTATCGCTCGTGCGTTGATCCGAGACAGCAAAGTGATCGTGATGGATGAAGCGACAGCCAATGTGGATCAGGAATCGGACAAGCTGATCCAACAGACGATGAAGGAGAGCTTTGGCGGTGGTGATAGCACGGTGTTGTGTATTGCGCACCGTATCGAGACGATCATGGATAGCGACAAGATTTTGGTGTTGGATGCCGGCAAGGTGGTAGAGTACGACACGCCAAGTGCATTGTTGCAAATCAAAGGTGGCATATTCAAGTCACTTGTAGGTTCAGGCAAAGTTAACTCCTCTTAGCAAGTTCAATTATGGTTTGTACTTGTACCAGATGTATCACTTGACCTCTACGTATAAATGTAGACCTCAGGAAAATGTTAACAAATGTGTCTGGAAACTTTAAACTACTAGTAGCGAAGCACATTGGTAGTTCAATGCGTTGGGACAGTAAAAAGCTGTACAAAGTGACACAACAATCAGTAGTGTTTAGTCTCTCTTTCCCTCTTGTTTTTCTTCAGTTTATTCGACTTTGAGATATGTTTTCAACAATAAAAAAAATCTTTATTTTCATTGGAAAAACACGCTTGAAGTATACATGTTTTGCTTTCAATAGATCCAGATTTGTGGTCTTTCTCACTTCAAAACCACGGACGCCTTTGCGCTTCCTCCCGAGAAACACCAATTTCGATTCAAATTCTAGAGCACGACGTGTGATGTCCTCCCTGATATGTACGGTAGCCTGCTTTGCGTCTGTTGACGATCTCTGGAGGTCTCCAATTGCTTCAATGATCGGATAAGCTGAAATATTAATAGCAGATTATGAAGGAGAGTAGTAGAAGTGGCGAGAATACTGTGGTTTTCAAGAGGATGTCTTTTTTCGTTAGATACAAGGACTACCAGTCGATCCATTAATTAGAAAAATGCGTCGGATAGCATGTGCAGGTATTATTTCTGCCGTAATCGCGGTCCCGGGGATACAGGGTGGAGGCTTTTGTTGCTGTCGTGGTTTGGTGTTTTGCCCCTGAGTTTAAGAAAGTCTTGAATAGCTTTGAGCACTACGCACTGAGCATTGACACAGCAACGCACTTGGCGTTTCGATGCCGTCCGGTATACTGTCAGCACCGTATCCACAAAATGTTGCAGTTGACCCAAGCGCTCCATCGCAGTACGTAGGCGATTTTTGAAGCGCAATTTACGACGTGGGAACTTCATATTGTTAAGTTCGAGCACGAGCTGACGACAGGCTCCGTTTTGACACTTTCTATCATGTTGATTCTCATCGCAGCTGGACAAAAGCTGCTGTCGGAGAGCGCGAAAATCCGAGTAGCGCTTCTGGAGGATAAACTGCACTTTGCCTGTATCAACTAATAGTCGGAACTGACAGTGATTTTCCACGGACTCAATACCGTGGAACCGCACACTGGTATTGGCAATATCATGGCAGGGAATTGAACCGAAACGTGGAAGAGATTTTGGAGATAGCGCCAATTGTACTGGCAAGGAGTCTCGCCGATGAGCCATGGTGTTGCGTGGATAATGTCGCGACGTATCATCGGGTTGGTTTTGCTCGGGCTTTAGCGTGTCAAGAGACATACCATCAAGCGAAGAGAGATGGAATCTGCGGGACGAAGATGCTGGCTGGGTGGAAGTGACACAACCAATGTAGATTGGAGAATGGATCGAAGCTAAAACGTATCGGTGAGTACGCAGGTGGGCAGCGGTTGGGTTGCTAAGTGACCTGTTACACACCAACACGATCGACAATGACCTCAACTCGAATTAAGAATGTCCACTGGAAAGTAGTGCGTGATTTTACTGCATGAAAACCGTCACCACGCTGTCGTTGCAACAAAAGATGAGCTTGATTTACCAACGTGGTCTTCGGTTAACAGGAGGTAGTCGGTTTCCCAGATTAGCATCCTCTATATTATTCATGGTAAAAAGAGTTCAGTTGAAGAAATGTCAGCTCGCTATAAATTTGCAACCCTTGGGGTTCACTGGGCAGATATGGCCAGGTTGAAAAACGCCTGGACTCGAGATCTGCCGCGACGAGGTTCGTACATTGTCTGCATACCACTCAATTTTGTCGCGTCATCTTTACTGCCCTCCAAGATACGACAACGCTCAAAAGCCAAAGGTAGGGCCGTTGCCTTAGATACTTGTACAGCTCCACCAAAAGTGGCTAATCTTGAGTCATGGAGCTGTCCCGATTCTTTGTGCTGTTGGGTTCATTGATTGTTCTGTCGATGTCAGCGCATCATATGGTTTGTATAAGTTTGGTACTTTGATCTGTTTTACCAACGTAGCGTAATTTTATTAGCTTTCGTTTGTCTGCGGGATAACAAACAGTAAGGCGTTCATCAACCTGAGTTCCTCTTTAAAAAAACTGATTTTGTCTACCCCAAAACGGACCAGTTTAAGTTTCAAAGAGACCTGGTCCACTTGATAATTGCTACTACTAGAGTTCAGTGATAACTTCCCTTGCAGTCTATCTAGAGCTCAATAGGCAAAAAGGTTCAGGTCGAAAAAAGCTCAACCCGAATCATACGGGGTTGGCGGTTAGCTTTGTTTGCAGATGCTATCTATCACGATAGATACTGCGGCTATTGTTGTGGATTGTCGTGTCATTTCTTCAATAGCACCACAGTCCCCTTCTTCGTCAAGCCACGGCACCAATAAGAAGTTCTCTGAATATTAATCGGTACACATTTTGTTTAGGACCTGCCATAGTTTTGGTGGAACAAATCGGTCTTCAATGCCCTGTATCGAATTAAGAGTCGGCTTCAAAAAAATGCATATATATATGGACTACAGAAACAAGAAAACCACCTCAAGTGGTGTTGTTCAATCCATTGACTGCTGATATTTATCCATATTCATCTAAGGTAGCTATATTCAGCGTTTCCTGGAATATATATTGCGTGTGTACCATATAATGCATACTTTCATGCCCATAATGATGCATTTCCGTCGTTTAAGAAATCTCCTACCATTACCGTTTTTGCTCCCATGTGTCCTTTATCATCGTTTTATCCAATCAGAAGTCTTTTGTACAGGCACAGTAGGACTGACAATGATGTATTCCCCACTTTTTGTTGCTTGACGCCTTAATTTGTTTTGTCAACTTGTCTCCCTCCGTCTGAATATTATAATAGGAAACACTGGCTAAATTCCGACTACACATGCGTTCGTTCGTTAATAGAGAGCCAAACAATTACCAACTCAGTTGTGAGGAATTGCCTGAACATCGAATCGTGTCCCTGTATGTTCGATCTTCAACAGTTCATCATGAGTGTCTATACTGTACTATGCAGGTTTTAATAATATAATAAGAAATCCAGGTTGCAGTTCACCGATCCCGGTGAAAGTGATGATGGGGACAAACTGATTACGAGTCCGCATGTCAATTAATTTAGAAGCAGCTTTGTGTTTAATTTTGCGTTTGTCGTATATAACAAAACTATACATTGACTAAACGTGAAGGATAAATGCTCTAAAATATTCTACAATTGTCATTTGTAATAGCGACCAGATTACGCGTCGTTGGTGCTTCTGTGCAGCATATCAGAACAGGTTCTTTGCCCACTTTCTCAAATTCTCTACAGAGACTCATTTACAGCAGTCCGCAACTTCAAGAAATGTCGACTGCTCCCAGGACTGTCAACGCGTATGCTGCATTCGAACCGTGTGGCAAGATCGAGCCTTTCCAATATCTGTCCCGCCCGCTTGGAGAAGACGATGTGGAGATCAAAATCTCGCACTGCGGAATCTGCGGAGTAGACATTCATCACCTCGACAGCGGCTGGGAGCCCACACTGTACCCCTGTGTGTTTGGTCACGAAATCATCTGTGAAGTGAGTGTTGTTGGTATCAACGTTAAGCATCTTGGCGTGGGTGATCGTGTCGGCGTCGGAGCTCAAGTCTAGGCGTGTCTTAACAAGGGCCCCGCTAGACCCTGTGAAGACTGTGCTGACAATGAACATGCCTACTGTGACCGCACGGTAGACACTTACGATGCGAAGTACGAGGACGTATGGTGGGTATGCAGACTACGTCCGTGTTGACAGCAACTTCGCCTTCAAAATTCCGGATAACATCCCATCGGCGTCTGCGGCGCCGCTACTGTGTGCTGATGTGGCAGTGTACACGCCGCTAAAGCGCCATGTCAAGCCTGGCGATCGTGTGGGCGTCATAGGCATCAGTGGACTGGGCCATCTAGCCATCCAATTTATCCGTGCGCTAGGTGCTATTCCTGTGGCTTTCTCGCGCTCGGAGAGCAAGGAGAAGGAGATCCGTGCTCTCGGTGCTGAAGAGTTCTACAATTTGAGCGACCCGGACCACCAGAAGAAGTCCGAAAACTCTGTCAACGTCGTACTGCTGACAGCTGATGCCACCAACATGCCGTACAACACGTACCTGACGCTCGTGAAGAAACGGGGCACGTTTATTATGGTGGGCGTCCCTAACGACGAGGTGAAGTTCAAACCAATGTACGTGGTGGGTGGGTAGGGGCATCAAGTGGGTGGGTAGTATCATTGGAAGTATCCAAGACGTTGAATACATGCTGAACCTTGCGTCGGAGAAGAATGTACGTGCTATTGTGCAGCAGATGCCCATGGACAAGGTGAACGACGGCATCGCGATGATGCGCGAGGGTCGCGCTCGTTACCGTGTTGTCCTTGAGAACTAAGTAGGCTGTGGTACTGTTGGACATCGTTACTGGGATAAATTTACCACACTTTGTGTGTAGTATTTTTGAGTTCCCAGTGTGTATTGACATGTCCGAGTCCAGTGTAGAGCATCAGTTGCTCCGACTTCATGTTCTTCTTGGTGATGACGAGGCCCAACTGGAAGCGGTCTACAAATCATTTCAAGACCTTGATCATGAGGGACGAGGATCGCTCGAAAATGCCCCGTATGGCTTTATACTCTTCGACTATTGCTGTTCACCGCCACTAAAGCCTTGGAATGCGTTACTAGGGAGTTGGAATTGGTGCTACGCGAGCATCTATCGTCAAAGGATTTAAAGAAAATGTAATCAATCAAGAGCAACACTGGAACATACCGTGTACTGACTAATTTTGTTTTCTTAGTGATATCGAAGCTCTTGTCAATCGTTTTTCAACCGCAGAGAACTGCTTCGACTATAAAGCCTTCTGTACGGCTCTGCAACAACCACCTGTTCTCCAAAGTGAATCAAGCCATTCGGGTCGACGTTCTCCAACGAAACGGAGGTCTCGTAGCCCCGTCAAGACACGTATGCACATGGATAAGCAACTGGAATCACAACGTTTGCTTATGGAGAGCGTTCGACAGAAGCTTATCCGTGGCGTTCAAGGCGACGATAGCGATGGGTTTGAGGGAATTCAAAACATTTTACGCCGTTTGGATACCTCGGGCGAAGGATATTTGGATGTGAAGGTGTTCTCGAAGAAAGTTCTTCAGCATCTCAAGGCCCCTCTGACACGACCAGAGCGAGAATTCTTACTGGAGCAACTGAAGCAGAGCTCCGAAATGGGGCAAGAACTCATTAACTATGAGCAGGTGCATTGAATGGCTTGTGTTTTTTGTTGTTGTAAATCAGATAAGTTATATGAGATAACTAATCGTTGGCATAACAGCTTGGTCGTGTATGTAACCTGAATAGCGATGATTCCGCTTCGGAATCCGATATGGAGCAAGAACTACAGACTAAAGCGCTGTCCCATTCGAAAAGCTCTCAACTAGGAGCCAAATTCCTCGCAGCCGAGAAGCGGCTCAATGAATTTCTTCGTACTCCAATTGCGGAGAAGTCCTCAAGTATTTCTGCAGACACCCCACGTTGCCTAGTTACAGGAGCTGAAAAGTTTCTGGAGCTTGCCGAAGCAATTGATCAAGATAATACCGGTTTGCTGTACGAAGACGGTGAGTTTCTACTCTCTACTTAACTTGATTCTGAAATTCATAATGTGCATTGCGCGTTCATTCATGACCCAGAATATTCGCGTATTCTATCGAACTGCGGGATTGACATTGATCCCGACCTTTTCAATGGAATGCTTTCACGATTTCCGCGCTCGTCTGGAAAACTGATCAGCTATACGGCATTTCTTCAGTACGAAACTATGATGTGTAGTTTGTCATATCTTCAATCTACTGATCGATTATCTTGATGCCTTTTTCAGACGCTACGGCCAAAACCCGCAACATAATCGAGGGAGACGAGAACTCAAGAGACTTGTTCTCCACCTATTGGCACGGCTTACCGTTCCTGTTCCAGAGTGGATCCGTTTCTTGTACCAACGATTCGAGAAATACGATCGCAAACTGCATGGCACCGTCAAACATTCAATACCAACTGAAGGTAAACATTTCCTTTATCTTTGGCTAACATGGCAAGTTTTAAAATTCACAACGCCGCTGTCAGCATTTTTGCATGCCGTTCAGGGTCGCTCCGCCGTGTTAAAGCTAACGACGGACGAGGCGGCGCAAGTGACGTCGCTGTTTCTTCATTCCTCCTCAAAAAACTCGACTAGCCACCTCCACTACCGCGAGTTCCTTACGTGGGTCAAGTCAAATGGAATCGTGACAACATTTGTCTAACATTTTCGTCTTGGTCGTGCCAGCTTTGTAGACGAATGTAGTCAAGTCTCGCGTCCACCGGCAATTGACACCAAGTTGGTGCCATCCACGCCTGAGGTGTCACCACCGGCTTCTCCGAAAGCAACAAAACTACCTCAACCCGAACCAGCAGACCCGGCGTCCGATATTTCAGTCGGGGACTACCTCATGTTCCACGCACTACCCCAAGAGCGACGCAACTTTGAGGACCTCATGGAAATGCTGAAACATTTCCAAAATACCGTCGACGGCAATCACGAGCCAGCAATCCAACGCATTGCCAACGGCATCATGATGCCTTTAGGCAAGAGACTGCGAGTCAAAGTGCAATTCTCCATCGGTGAATGACATCCGATGTCGCCTAGCCCTATCGTGCTCGAACCTTATGTTGTCACCCCTTCCCTTTTTCCTACTCTTTTCAAATGAATCCAAACCTCCATCCCACTGGCATAGAAATCAACCTTCAAAAGCTTCTCAGTTCACATTTTGCCTGGATCTGCACAAGAGTGTGCGCTTATGCCCATGGTGAACAAGACGAAAAGCACGTGCCAGCTGCGTCTTGAGGCTCGTTCTCGCGCCAGTTGCGCCCCCGCAGACGTCACTACCGACCCGCAACTGCTGGCCGCCGAGTTGCAGTCTCGTATCGCGCGCGCCAGCGAGATCCGCGCGATCCACACGCGGCAATTGGCAGCGCGAGCGCGTGCCCGAGTGCAACACGCCCAGGAAGTGGCCAGGGGGATGCGCGTCAAGCGGCATGAAGAGACCAGGCGTTCTCGGCAATCGTCAGTCTCGAAGCTTGACGAAGCCGCGCGTCGGCGCCACGAGCAGCTGGAGCAACTGCAGCTGCAGTGCAAGCAGCGCGCCGATCTGATAATGGAGAAGGTGGAGCTGGTGCGCGCCGACCAGAACGACAAGGCGGACAGGGCTCGCCGTACACTCGCAGGGCAACTCGACGATGCCGCGCGGCGTCGTGAAGAGCAGACGCAACAACTCGTTCGCCGCCTGAACGAGCGCTGGCAGAGCGTGGAAAGTGTCAAAGACCGGGTGGCTCGGGTGAAATTCATCCAGCGCTGGTTCCGTCGCCAAGTGGCAAACCGCAAAACTGCCAACGCGTTGCGACAAGTGCAACAAGATGTGAAAAAGGTGGTGAACTGCTGGAAACAGATGAAGACTGCGAGCTTTGAGGAGTGCATGGGGCTCGTGCAGCAGCGACCGGTGGTGCAGGCTGCACAGAGACTGCTCAAGGTGCTGATGGCCCAGAAGGAGGACAGTTATCGAGTGAAATCGCCACTGGCAAAGAAGAAGAGAACGGCGGCATCAACTGCAGCTCCGTCACCTCGCGGTGGAGCCATGAGCTTCCGCGTGTTGATGATGGCTGGCATGATTTCGTGCCACCCGAACGAAATTATGGGGCAAGATCCGTCCAAGAGATTGCACTATGCTGCCAGTGTGATTCTCCTCGACATGGAGAATCTGTCGCTCTCTCTGGCAACATCGGACGATTTCCAGAGAACTCAGGACTTGACAAAGTGCGTTTCGAGACTCTCGGCCAGATTTGCATTCTACACTGAAGCTTTTGCACGCTGGAAGGCCAGAGATGCGGAGCGTTTGGCTGCAGAGTTGCTGACGTCATATCGCGAGCTGATGCTGGTTCAAAAGAAGTACGAACTACAAGCTCAGGAGGCGCAACATGGCGTGGACGGCGTGCACGAGTTGCTGCGGCAGACTCACGGCCAGTTGATGCAAATGCAAAGAGCTCTGGAACGCTTGCTGGGCCGAGATGGGGCCAAACACAAGGTTGACGAGCTTGAGCAGAGCTTGAAGCAAGAGACTGACGCTGGACATGCAACAGTGGGTGGCACATCGAGCTCCAACCCGGACGGCAGCAATGCATCTCCATCTGATAACGACACAGCTTCAACCCCTTTAGACACAGGCGATGAAGGTGACCAAGGCAAGAAAGACGATGACGATGAAATGATGACTGACGATAAAGAAACATCCAGCCCGTCTCCTCCGGTTAATCTGTCGCTACTTGCCGACCGAAAGTTGGTGCATGAACTGATTCTCAACCCTCAGTTCCGGATTCCAAGGGACAAAGATGTAGAAGCTTCAGCTGCGGCTGTGGCATCGCAACAATCAATGGCGGCGATGGCTGTGCGAGTGCGTGAAGCCATGACCAAGGCCTTCTGGGACCGCGTGATCGAAGCCAATGACATCGAGACGCTTCTAGCTCGCACTGAAGAGTTGCGTGCAACATTCCGAGACGCTCTTGGAGGAGGCAATGCTGCTGGATTAAGTGCTGCATTATCAGCTTTGGCTGACCAGGTGGATAATGCACTTCGCCCGGATCAACTGCGAGAACTTATGCAGGATCCAGTAAGGAATGCTCCCATCATTCAAGCACGCTGCAATGGTGTTCTGGATGCAATCGAGCGTGCGGAGGCACCTGCTCGAGCTACAAGCACGCGGGAGTTCCGATCGGACTGGGCTCAACGTATTGCAGCGGGTGTCATGACGCCTGTACAGCTTCTGGTGGCTTTCTTGGCTTTTGCGCTGGATAAAGTCGATGAACTGCGTAGTGACGTGTTGAACGCCCATCTTGGACTTCTCGGTGCTTATCTGCAACGACATGGCGTGATGTACGAGCAGAAACAGCTTCAGACTCGTCTTTCCGAGGCTGGGAGTGTGGATGCCGCTTTTCCTTTGACAGTGAAGTGGCTGACCTTGGAGATAAAAGATTATCTAAACCGGTCGGAGGTTGATCAAGCAGAGCGTACTAGACTGGCGCAGTACGATGGAGCGGCCTTTGAACGCTTTGTACGCGCGAGTATCTGGGCGCTAGTGGAGAAGCATATCGATGGCACAGCGTCGCGTGCGTGGCCCGAAACGTTTGAGCTGGATGTTGCTCGAGTCCGGGCTTGCCGTGACGCTCTCGACCGCATCGCTGTAGTGTCGAGTCTTCTGGCTCTGGTTCAGGAGTACGTTGCTCGTCGCAGTCTGGCTGTACCCACTGGATTCTTCCATAATGTCGGTCAACAATTGAGCAAACTGTTGCAGTCTCCTGGAGTTTCAGGTGCGCAACTCGCAGCACAGGCAACTTTTGATGTCCGCCAGTTGGAAAATTTGCCAAGTCAAGATGTTGATCAGGAACTGCAAGTCTTGGAAGAGCGACTGTTGGGTTCATTTGCCGCTGATAATCCTGTGTTCAAGCTCTTCTTTTCACGTGCGGCATGTGCTTTCGCGTCTGCGTTAGCGTCACAAGGCAACGTGGATAACCTACACTCATCATTGGCGCCGTTTGCAGCGGACATCACAGAGGCCACTTCGATGTTGCGACGTCTTGTCCAGCACAACGAAAACGTGTACGCGTCACTATACAACGACATCATCAAGCGTCTGGCTCACCAGTTGTGAGATGAAGTGTAAGAAGTTCGCTTTGCTGTAGGTTTTTGATCCACTGGTTTGCAAAAAAAAAAATGTGTTGCAGTCTTCCTAGTGCCAACCTAACTCGACAGACGTGCACCCTGGACAGCTCCAGCGCCCACGCTCGCGTCCGTGCTGATGTTATACAGCAACTGCGCCAGCCAGCGGCTAGTGGTTGCGTCTTCCTTGAGAGCCTCGTCGAACGTGTGGTTACGCAGAGCCTCCGGTAGACACTGGCGGAGAGCTTCCTTAGCACTGTATAAATAAAGTTAGAAAAATATTGCAAATAGTCCGAAATGTACGGGGGGAAATGTACCGTGGGTTGTCCGAGAGACGCAGGTAGCAGCGAATGATGTGCTTGAGCAGACGCGGCGCTGGCGCTTCCACCAGCGTCGCTACCATCTTGCTCAACACTGTTCCCACGGCGTAGAACCGCTCGGGCGTGTGGCAAATGTAGGTGAGGCCCATGTCGTCGAGAAGGATCTTTTGCACGATGAAGGTGGCGACTGTCTTGCTCAGCTCACTGCCAGCTTCCATGATGCGGAGACACAACGGGATGATCTCCGTTTGCAGCAAGAAGTTGATCACATCCGAGTCGTCAATCTGCAAAACACAAAAAAAGAGTTTCACTTAGAACTATTGCCAACAATAATTTTTTTTCTTAATAATTACTCATATTACCTTGACCAGCGCGCCAATGACGCCGAGACTCGTTAGCCGGAGATACTCGAACGGACGGTTCTTGCTCACGGTGTTCAGGAACGGATACAGATACAACGGGATGTGTGCTGCAGAGTATTCACGTTAGTGGCAAAGTTTTTTTTTTTTTTTTCTCACAATGGCAACAGACAACTCTTCGATTTCAAGATCACCATTCTCATACTCACCATTGAGAAAGTGGGTGCGGGTTTCCGAATGTGACGCCACGCACTGCAACAGCGCTAACGCATTGCACACCCGATTCGAGGCGTGGGCCGTGAGCTGCGGGGGCGACAACAGCGGATAGATGGCCACGATCTCCTGTAGTAGCGCGGCCACGGTGCCGAATGAGTGCCAGAGTATAGGCGCAAGCTCGGGGAAATCCTCGCGCTTCTTGCTGAGCTCCAGCAGGGCGCTCTCGCGCTGCTCAGGCGACGACAATTCCAGCACGAGCGAGTACAACTGCTCCGGGGGCTCCATGTCTGTTGTAAGCTGAAATCTGAAGTTAGAGAATACTGGAAGAGGCCTTCTATTGGCCAAATAAAACTTTTATTTAGCCAATCATTATCCACTTGGCAGAAATGTTATAAAATTCACATGTCAAACGAGAACTGATAAGTAAATAGAAATGCTGGCAATTTGTTTTTGGATAGGCCACGCTACGAAGACGATGAGGTGGCAAGGACACAAGTGGTGGAGCAGAGGACAGCAACAGCAGAGGATGATGCGAAGACAATATGGGAACTGATGAACGCTAAATTGTCGGCTTGAAAAACAGTGGGAAATCTGTCGACGACGTTTTCATGTTACGAAAGCTCCACAAGGATGCATACTTAGCTCGTTCCAGTTCGAAGATGGAGATATTGGACGACTACATCAAGCTGATTACCACACAAATGCAGGCCAAGGAACGTTGCTGCAGACCTTGCGAAGGAAATATCCTCGTACGAACGAGATGGCGGCGGCATTGCAGAACGCGCTGCTGAACAAGTGGACTCTGTCCAAGGAGCAACCTGAAAGTGTCTTGTAGAAGTTCTGGTTGGGCCATTTTTTCTTACTCTTTCTGATCGTAACATTTACACTTCGGCAGCGTTTATCACGGTAATTTTCAAGGAATCCTAACAACCATTAATTCATATGCATCTTTTAGTACCAAAACATCAAAATAGTAAAAAAAATATTTTGATTATTACTGCGCATAGCTGACTTTGTCATCGTTATGAACGCGATACCAACACATCCGTGTTATTCACGAAACGCGAATCCAAACAGCAGGGTGACGGTCAAGTGTACGCCGGGGGTTACTTGGGCATCGTGATGTTACAAATTCACCAATAACATATAATAAGTTGCGATCGCGTGTGAAACATAATGCACAAGTAATGTAAGAATAAATAATACCCC